GGGCTGAAAGAACCTGCCGGACCGGGCCGGCCCCCAGCGCCTCCCCCGGGCCTGGGCCTGCCCCTTCCCGCAACCGGGCTGGGCAGCTGGTTCTGCCCCTTCGCCCTCCTCCTCCTCCTCCTCCTCCCCACCTGTCTTCTCCGGAGCGCAGAACGACCCAGGGACTCCCTTCTCTAGCAAGGTGGGGGGCACCCGGCCCTCTTCCTCCCTAGGAGGGATGCTGCCCCGTTCCTTTCCCAGCAAGCCGAATTGCTTCTCTCACCAGCTGGTTCCAGTTACCGATCGCTGTACCAGCAGCTCGCCTAAATCTAGTTTCCTCCTTCACTCAGCTGCTAAACTAAATTAAAATGCAGTAACGGGGGTTTCTGATAACGACTGTTCGATATAAACAACTGTAAATGTAACAAGTTTGCGAGTTGTCCAATCGTTTGTGGGTTTCCTGTGAAAGATGGGAGTGCTTCTTTTCATACATGTAGTTTCCAAGACACTTTTGATTCAATTAATTTTCTTGTATAGGTCTGTATCAAACGTTTCCCTCCGTTCTCTCACCAGTAGAAAAAACAACCAAATCCCTTCAGGTGTATAAAAAGTTTGTGATTTACTTACTTTGTTGCAGAGTATGAGATAAAGGGAAAAAAAAACATCTTTCTGAGCAGGATGCCTTTATACACTGTCAGATGGTAACGTCTTCTCACACTGCCTTGTGATTTTTTTTTTTTTTGTTTGTTTGCTAGTGGAGTGTTTGTACTCTAATGAATAAGTCAGCCTTCAAACAGATGTTACACCACTGGGACAGTTCTGATAATGTGCTGATTTATGTTTTTCTGGGAGGTGCTATACACTGACTAGTATAAACTCAGGGTTTTACTGGAAAGATGGAAAATTTAATATGCAAAGGATAGACCAATTCCACTTTAAAGACATAATCTTGAACACTGTCTTAAAAAAAAAAAAAAAGTTATGCTGCTTATTGCACAGTCTTAACTCTGCATTCTTAATGTATTCATTACTGAATGATGTTTAAAATGGAAAAGAAAAAAGGCTTCTATAAAAATATATATGAGAAAGAAAAGATGCAAGGATGCTAAAAAGTATATATGCTCAAGTTTCCTCTTTAAGATCAGGAAACAGACAAATCTGAGCAACATTTTGACATTTTAACTGCATTAAAACCAGATAGCTTATACAAAGCACACTAAGAACAACATTACAGACTAAACATACAGCATTTAATGTTTATACTAAAGATATATTATATAAAACAAATTACAGGTGAAACCCAGGGTTTGTAACTACAAGCAAGACTGTGAAAACCGAGGACATCAAGCATGTGCTTGTTAGAAGGAATGTGGGGAGGAAGAGATCAAGATTCACAACAAACCTTTACAGAATCATATAATATTTTAATGGATGATTTTCTTGAGTATTCTCGGAAATGTCACTTGTGTGTCAGCCTTCTATTTACATTTCCAGAGAAAATGGCTCAAATATTTTCAGATGATATTTTGGTGTTGTTGGGAAGATACCAATATATCTGAGGATGAGGAAAGGCTTGCTGAGCAGGTTTAAAGGGTAAATGTAAGCCTGGAAGGATGTTTGCTTCTTGTCTGTCACTGGAGTGCAAGTGGTAGCTTCTCAGGACAATGTGCTACTTTTCCACATCACAGATGAACCCTGCCTGGGCCACTGCTTCTGCCACAGGCTGCAAAGCTACAGTCAGAGGCTTCAGAAGTGCTGTTTTCCATGCATCTGAGGTGAGTATCTTGCAGCAGGTTGTGTGATCTCCCTTCTGTGCCGGATTGCATCGCTGGTAAAATGGGTTATTAAAAGAGCAGAAGAGTCCCTTTTGTGCACTTCTGACTCATAGCAAGCCCTTGTGATTGTACAATTCTTCCACATTATTTTTCATAGCTGGCCAGTTGATACTCGTTGACTACCTTTTTGTTAGAGAAAGGGTACTAGAAAGCACTTGATCCATCCATGCTCAAGAACTGGGCCAGTGCTCCAAAGATGTATCTCAAAGTAACTTTGATTACAGATGTGCATGACCTTTAGGATGTTTTCAGGATTTTGAAAAACTGACAAAGTGAACAAGAAATTTCTATCACTTGTGTAACACAGCAGAAGTCACTGATTTACTGATATCCTTCTCTTTTCTGTTCCAACATGGCTATATGCTTGATTTAAGGTATCTTTTTGAGTTTTCCACCAGGCAACTTGAGAACTGCTGCAGCTACTCTCAGCCTTACTAAAAGCTGCAGTAGTAAAAAATTTGGAAGATAGTCTGACTGTGCTGCTACTTTGCAAAATCACTATCAGGTACAGGAGCAGTTTTCTGGACTGCAGTAAAAGCAAGCCAAACTCCCTGCTGTCAGATGTCAAGTACGAATGATTTTAACAAACACTTTGCCTGTAAGTGCTGCATGCATGCTTTCTATCCCTGATAAACCTCATTATCATTTTTTATGGCATGCAGCATGGTGTAAAACACTGTATAGAATCACCTTTAGACTAGTGCTTGTTTTGTTTCTGGCTGTGGCTAGATAAAGTAAGGAAGGCATGTAAAAAGGTAAGGTGAAGGGAACAGGTCAGATATAAAAGTCAGTAGAACTTTAGTTTTGTCTTTTACACAAACTGGCCTAAAATGTCTTGTAGTGTTGACACAAGGCAGGTGCAGAGTACAGTGATTGTGATGATGTTAACAAGCGCATAGGCAAACATTATGTCCGAAGAACAGAGAATACTGAGAAAGTTTCCCATGAGATTTGCAAAGATACAAAAAGCCAGACAGGAGAGAGTTGGCTGCTCTCAGTGAAAGAGGCTACAAAGAAAGCCGTTGCACAAATTCATGGGACTAGCTGAGGGCATAGAGGAAGATCACTGCAAAAATTAAGGAGATTAAAATCTATTAGGTAGGTAGTGGTAAGACATGAGGGAAATCTTAGATGGGATAAACATTTGAAAACTCAGTTTTAAAATGAGTTGAATAAACCATAGCTGGCATTCTTATATGCCAACATTTCAGATTTGAGCAGCCACACAGGTGTAAGCAACTAGCAAAGAAAACAAGCACTGAGTCAAGATATAAGAACAAGCATCTGTTGTGACCCTCTTCAGAAGTAAAAGTCTATCACAGAAAGTATGTGGGAAGAGATTTGTAATCTACATGTCTCTACATGTTTTATGGACACTTCTCCAAAATGAAATATCAAAGCATCTGCTGAAAGGCTGACATTTGATGTTACTGTGGGCTGTTAGCCACAGTACCACCATAGTGGCACATGCCCTGTCATATTTCACTCACACTTTACATTAAAATGAATTAAAAAGGTTAAATTGATGTTTAGTATGAGTTATAAACATACTGAATGAATAGCAGTATATACATAATTACAAGCATACCCACGGAACGTGTTAGTGATGGTTAAAAACAACCTAGTATGGTACTCAATGAATGGATAATTGTTTTATCAAGTTTCTATAGTTTACTTTTATACAGAGTATGACTACAGCTTTATGTCTCAGTGACCAACCTGTTATAAGGTGCTTAGATGACCTTCTTTGGCTTTTCTGCTTTTTTGGACATGGCTGCTGCTACTTTGGACTTACAATAATTGTGATAAAATCAAACTCCCTGTTTCTCATGGGTGATGCTGTGCACAAGACTGAGGATCAGATTTAACACAAGAGCCTGCCATCAGCCTTGCTTAGAGGTAAACGGACAGCTTCAGCTCTGGATAGTATACGATAGTTCTTCAATGAACTGGCCAAAAGCAAATGCCAGAATCTAATAATATTTGTGATCTGGCTGGATATAAGGAATACTGCTTGTATTTGGATTTAGTTTAAAGTGCTGTTTTCAAGTGGCTGTGAAATGAACTGCAGTAAGGATAAGGACCTGCTTTGAGCTGTCACTTCACTCTGAAATGAATTGCAACAGTCCAGGCAGTGTTGGATAGTCATTTCTGCACAACTTAAGAAAGAAGCATTTTAGCCAAGGAACTAAAGAAATATTATCATGTTGTATGAAGGCAGATCATTTCAGGCAATACCAAATGCATCTTAATTGGATGGATGTAATTAAACAGGTGGTCATTACTGTCAATATTCCTCTGTGGTTTTGTTTGGTTTCTGATTGGAAATGAAGAAAGATTTCTGTACCTGACTTTTTCCACTTGAGATTCTTGGTGACATGACTTCTCCTTGGAGCTGGGAGGCAGTCACTCTGGATTTTTTGAAAATGAGTGACCATAAGAACTGAATTCCACTAGAGAAAGAGAAAGGATAATAATTGATTACTTCAGGGAAGTTGCCTTTGTTGAGTGAGAAGTGTAAAATGAATCCTGGGACAGTTGTTTTGCCATGTGTACTACTTCTTTGGAGGTTTTAATGGGCTGATGCCTATACAGTGTGTGGAAATTTCAATGCATCTGAAACATTTCCTCCTTAGGAAACAGTCCACAACCTGTGGTTTAGTCCTTTATCCACAGGGCTTGCTTAGTCTGAGATATAGATGAAAGATGAGCTTTCAAGAATGCTTTCTAGGTATCTTGCTCAGCTAGGGATGTGGATTCTAGGCTGCTCAGGTTCATCTTCCAATTTGGTGGTGTCTCCTTCTGCCAAGCTTAAGTCAGGCTTGTGCCACTTTAGCTGAAGGAATTTTTCCATCAAGTTAGCTCCCACGTTGAAGACCAGAGCCAGCCAGGCCAAGCCAAAAACAATCCAAATCGCAGTTAGGCTCCTGTACACTGGGATATAGTGCTTGTTGGGGTTTGTGCCTGAAAAATCCATGAAACTTTGCATATTAATCTCAAGAGCTTCAGTCTACCAGTCAGCATACATACTTGTACACCCTCTCCACCCCCTGCAAAAGTGTATGTTTAACAAGTTTGTGTGATCTATGAGCATTTTTTTTTCTTGTAATTTTTTTCTTTTTGTATTCCAACTCTCAGGTTAAGCTTAGCACAGCTGGCATTAAATCTCTGACACCGAGGCTATATAATAAAAATAGCCATATCTAATGTTAATCAGGGATGCACAAAATTGAGCATTCCTAGCCACTAACAAAGAAAAAAGTCATCTTGGAAACCCAATGTTGAATCTATATTAGCTATATTTTACTCACGAGACACACGGGGGATCTCAGATGATTTAGAAAGATATGGTTTACTACCTCAGTGATATAATGATTGCTTTTTGTAGGGTGATATACCTTGGTAACTAGGATTTAAAATCACCTGGAAAATATTATGTGGGACATGCAGTCATTTTAAGTAAGTGGTTATGAGAATCTTAATCCCCAGTTTAATATTTCAGCAGCATGGACAAGCCAATACAGGCACAGGACAGCACTGCAGCCATCCATTTAGTCTCTGTCATGCAGATCATCATGAAACTCCACAGCACCCAGATTCAGCATGGGATGGGTTTTTATATCCTTTTGGGACATAGTTCTGACCTCTAGGAGGGGGGAACTACTACTCATGAAGTAACAGATCCTAGTGTTTTTAACAAATAAACACACTACACATGATCTGTAAAGATCATTTGTTCAAATAAGTGGGAGGATAAATAGCCCTTCATGTGTCTCTACTGCTATGCCTCAGCCTCGATCTCTAAAGACTGTGTAATCTCATTGGGTTTGTTATCTTTCACAGGTATCCCAGAGTTGTCAGTAATATTATACCTGTTGTAAGTACTGATCATTTGATATTTGACATTTCTGACTGGGAATGGTAAGTGCTTGCTGAAACAAATCACTGCTAAAACAGGGTGGTTCAAAGGCTTAATACTGACAGAGATTTCATTTATGTTCCACCTGTCAATCATGGATCACCTTTGTACCAGCTTGGACAGAGTCACTGTTGAATGGGTGTTCAGTGGCATATGTGAAATTAATTTGGTGACTCTCAGCTTAACTGCCAAGAGAAAAATGCCCATGTCATATAATCCATTAGTTCATTATTACCAGTCTGGCTCAGCTCGCTCTTGTACCAGAATTATAGTGGAATGGATCTCTATGCTTGCTGTGTTTAGCTTTACACTAGAGTAACTAATTTCAACAAAGCTCAATCCAGTTCACCTTCTTTATTACCTACAACATAGTCTCCAAATCCAATGGTGCTCAAGGTGATGAAAGTGAAGTAAAAGCCTTCTCCATAGCTCCAGCCTTCTACATAACTGAAGACCAGTGGTGGGAACACTAAAAAAAGCAAGGTCCCAGTGGTCAGGAAGATGGCCACTGCCAGTGTTTGAACCACCTGAAAGATAAAAGGAAGATGGCAGCTAAGCAGCACTGAGCAGCTGTCTAGTGGAAACTGCTGGGTCTGTTTTCCTCTTGGATCAGAAACCCACTCCATCTGGGAGAAATGTCTGACAAAGGAAGGATAAACCAGTGCTGCTAAGCACTGCAGGCTGACCTTGCTGTTTATCTTACACATAGAAATTACACCTAGTCACGAATCCAAATATCTCAAAATTAGGAAAAAAGGAGGATTTTTTTAAAGCTTTTTGCAATGAGTTTTTAAGTATGCTTGTCATATTTTCAAGCTGATATAGCAACCATAGGAATGAAATACTCACTTTACAATTTCAGTTGAAATGGAGATGCTCTCATAATCAATTGGCTCTTGTCTTTGAGGAAAATCACCAAGTATTGCATAACTCGTGATACAAAGTTTGGCAAGAACAAATTAGTGCTCTCTTCGCCATGACTGCTTCCAAAGATTTATAAAGTGGCTTGTAAGAGCTCAGCCATAACTATGTTTGGATAAAATTTAAGTGAAGTTAGTTTGCCTGCTTTTAACTTAGAAGCATTCACAGCAGAATAGTTTTCTGTCAGCACAGGACAGATCTGTGTCTCAGTACAAATAACTGCCTTCTGGGAGAGAAACTCCAGCATACGTGGTTGCAATAGATAGGTACACAGAATGGTCAGTGGATGGGTCATGACATGGGATTTTAGGAACACAGTGGTACACTTTTGACTATTGATGTGTGCGCTGATAGAAACTCATTGAAGTTGTTTAAAAATGCCCTCGAGGGCATTCAAACCAGAGTATGATTTTCTATGCATGTGCCTATTGTGACTAGATGAAAAGCCAAACCACTGTTTATAAAGTAAAAGGTCCAGGTGTTATATTTTTCTTTCTCTATATATATTATCTCACATATAAAATAGTCTGCTGAGCTTAAGAAACTTGGTGTGAGTCTACTGGGTGACTTTGACAAATCACTTCTGTATTATGTACCACGTCTCTCTAGCTGTGTAATACAACTCACCTCATTTGCAAAGCAGTTTGAGAATTACTGATATGGTTATTGTTGATATCTATTCTAATGTAGTTCATTCCAGAAGTGTGATAGCATTTAATTAGATTATAAATTTTGCATAAAATTTTACTGAAATGCACACTATTATTTTTTGCCCTGGCTTTTAAGAACTCTCTGGTGCAAACCTATAACGTGGGGACAGTAAGTCAGGAATGAAGAACAGATTGTAATTAATTTCAAAAAGCATGACTAAATAGTGTTTAAAAGGAGATGAACCTACTTCCTGGAAGAAGCTTTTCAAGTGAACAAGCAGCTAGAGCTTCAAAGCTTTGTCTGATCATAGGAGTTCTTCCAGAAATGAAGTATTAATTCAGGAGTGAAGAGAAAAAAATATCACATTCCTGAGGTGCTGTTAGAAATCTCAGGAAAGGTGTAGATATACTAGCATGAAAATCCTTCTGGTGGTAGAGCTGCATGTATTTGGAGAACAGACATAGCTTATGCAGCTAAAGAACTACTTGCTTATATAAACCAAGTCTAAACTTAACAGTACCTTCATAGCTTTCCCAGCGTAGGTAAAGAATGCAGTCACTCAGAGATTTAACAAATGAAAAAGGTAAAAAACCTTGTGACAGAACTCTGAAATGTTCAACATTCTAATATATCTAATCTCCCTTTCCCTAACTATAAGGGTCAACTCATTGAACCTTTACTCAGAAACATGCACTAACTTTGTTATAAATGACCTTCATGTATTTTCTGTTATCAGTTCTTTGCTTATTCCAATACATCTGGACTAGTTCAATGACTCACCAATAAACTATAACTAAGGAGAAGTATTTATTTACATTTCAAGAAAAGCAGAGGAAGGAAGTACTAAATTGCTGGCACAACCAGGGAAGGTAATTCAAGTCAGATTAGCAGACCAATAAAAATAAATGGTCTTTGAGCAGTGTAGAGCTAGATTCTGGATAGATGCTGGCAGAGGCTAGATAATAAGAGCTTGATTCAGCAATGTGTGTATGTGCATGTATTCTGCTAAGGTCATCAGAGTTTAACCACCCTGCTCAAAATTGAGGCTATGCTTGTTTAACAGTTTTGCTGAGTCAGGTTTTAAAAAGGCAAATCTAGAGTTCCTCAAGCAAAAGCAAATTTCTTTAAAGCTATCACAGATTTAATAGAGCATATCACTTTTCTGATACAGAGGGCCACATAGTTGCTGTGGTTCAAAAGAATGTAGGCACACACATGGAAACCCAGCAGCAGTACCAATCTGAGAACTTTAGTTAATTTTAAAATAGTGGCAATAAATGGGAGATTGACACTGTACCTGGGCACGGCCTGGTTTTTGTACCCATCTTTCCAGGGTAATCAGATGAGCATTGAGGCCTTTCCCCAACTGATTAAGGAAGGCCAGGTTGAGGGGCACTCCGAATAAGGCATAAAACACACAGAAGATCTGCCCTGCCACTGTGCTGGGTGACAGGTTACCATAACCTGAAAAAAGGAAGAAAACAGTTACATGAAAAGGCTTTACAGTCAGGCTGCAGGCCATCATGGGAAGTTCCTAGGCTTGAAAGCTCAACTACATTAATCTTCAGGAACCTGTGGATCTATGATTTTCATTCCCTACTACCAACAGAAAATTTAACATGAAAAACATTTCTCTTAAAGGGTATTATAATTTTCTATAGGTCTCATTTGTGGTGAGTGCAACTGAGTGCTTCAAAGCAAGATGTGCTGTGCATGTACAGAATGATATTGCACGTACCAAGTAGGCACTCAGCTTTTTTTGCAGGTGTGATATGCTGGATACACAAGAGTAACAGGTGTAATTGGAAATCAGTAGAAAAACGTAACCCACAGTAGTCAAGATTATCTTGCAGGTGTATTCTGTCTATGAGTTCTGGGGGCTTTACAAG